GCCGGGGAGGGCAAGTAGGATATTTGGTTTTGGTGTTGATTTTATTTTCCTGTGTTTCTCTTTATTTTGTGATTTTCGTGTTTGTGTTCTTTCTTTGTGTCTTTCATTTTTCTCTTTGTTCTGGTTTTTGGTTTCGGTTTTTGTTTTTCGTGGCTACGCATGGTTGTTTTGGTTCTTGTGTGCAGAGATTTGACATATGTCATAATTCATACGGCACGCCCCACGCCTCTCTCTCTCTCTCTAGATCTCATTCGAGCTTTATCTTCTTCTTGTTGCTCCACTGATACAAGTTGAAGAAGGGTGTATTGAGTAATACGGTAGAAGATCTGTAGGTAAATCGAGACGAAATATATTTTATCCTACGAAACTAACTGTAGGTCCGATCAAGGAACGGAGCATACCCAGACGACCGTCTTGACATCATCTTTCAGCTGCCGCCGAGATCGCCGCCGTCCGCCGTCGCACGCGCCCGCACGCGATGCCGGGAGCTCGTTGACTGCAAGATACGTTTTCATCCGATTGCATCCGTTTGATCTGTTTTTCGGTCCGATCTTGTTCATGCAATCCCGAGACGTGATTTGCAGTCATCCGTTCGTGCCAACCAAATCTACATAAATTTTAATCCGTAAGTTCTCTACGTTGAACCTTTAGATCCGCTGTGCATAGGCTTACGTTTGCTATTGAATTCGTGGCTTGTACATAACGAGATCCTCACAGATCCCAACGAGTGGTATCAGAGCACTTGGTTAATTCGTTTTGTACAAAGTTCGAAATTCTTACGGCTTTATTTGACAAGATGTGTTCAAACGCAGCCATATATTTGATTATATTTGCATAACTCGATTTTGCAGGAAAATAGTTAATATACTATTACGGCCGATTATGTGTTTGATGAATGTTGTTGAATGTGATGTATGGTTTTAAATTTGTTTTTAAAACCTCGGGCATGTCGAGGAATTCATGGATAAATGTTTGTAATAATTAGTCGCCCGGGGGTTGACCAGATAGATTTAATTATTTGTTTAGAAAACATGTACATCCATTTGTTGGATCTAGGATCGAATTATGTAATTTTTTAAATTATATTTTTTGTGTTGTGATCGTGTGTTGATGACCGGGAGATCACAAGAGATCAACGAGCCTCGAAGAATAAAAAAAAAGGATCGGCGCATTTTTTCGGGCCAAACCGATGGCGGCAACCGGC